CACTGGCAGTTTTTTATAGAAATAACGTTTTAGTTCAGGTCCTGTTACGTTAAATGAATGAAAACTGATTACTGGTGTTTTTTAATAGTAATTTAGGAGATAATTTACTTATTTGACTACCATAATGTGCAAATTTAGTCCATCCACCTACTCGAATTTGTTTAAAATCTGTCACCAAAAATGGAATCTTCTGTCTGCATTATCAGTTAGTAAGCTTTACGAGGATCTCGTTTTAATATTATAATATTAAAACTACTTTGTTTATTTCTGAAGTTGCACTCCTTGTTGAGTTTATGAACACGAGACGAATTGTGGCAAAGAATAGAGGAAAATTGTAATCTACTCCTCTATAAATAGATTAGAAGATGTCAAAAGTGTATCGATGCTGAAGGACTTCGTTTTAAACAATTGTTGTAGTACTCGTTATTTAATTACTTTTAATGTTATTTTATTATTTAGTGATGTTTTTTCCAGAAATAAAATATTTTCTACAAAAAATCGCCATTGGCGTTTTCTTTTCTTGAGAAAAGTTGGCGGACACTTCAGTAGAACGTAACTTGGTAAAACCAGAAGGTTTTCATGAAATAAACAGATTAATTTATAAGGAAAATTCAATAAAACGTAAAAACAAGCCCTAATATCTCCTAAACGACTGATATTATTAAAAAATAGCTACAAACATTTTCCATTCATTTAACATAACAGTACCTGCATGTAACAAAATTTCTACAAAAATCCGCCAGTGGCGTATCATTTTATTAGGAAAATAGGGCTGCACCTCCAGTAGCACGCCGCTGGTTAAAACCGCAAGGTTAATATTACAATCAATAGAAGGTCTAATTAAATGAATACGTTGTATTAAATTTCATTCAATTCCGTCAGCGCATTATGAAGATATAGCAGAAAATATATTTTTTCTAAACTATAACACCCTTTATCTCGAATAAGTCCCGCAGAAAAAAAGTTTATAGAGCAAATTCTACTTACTTTTTGGTAATGAATCTTGCAGTTTCTGTATTTAAAGTGAAATCACCCTGTATATTTATTAAAAAGTGTGGTACTACGTTTCGTCATTTGTTCCGAAAACGATGCATCTTAACAACAATAACACATGTTTAAAAAGGCCTCTAAATATTTATCGTAATCTTAATTAAAATCTGAAATATCTAGTGGTATCTAAATAAATGAAATTAGAATAAAAATCTATACAATACATCCAGTGTTATAGAAAATCGTACACAGAAGCTATATACCAAATTTTAATTAAATCGGTTTTGTCGCATTTCACAATTAAAAAAAAATAATTATTTTTTCTGTAAAATTTAACACCCTTTATATAAAATGCAAAGCGACTGGAAACATATGGCTACATAAACATTTTTTTTATTTATGCCACACGATTTACCATTAAATTTGGCCAAGTATTTCAATAACTCCCTGTATAGTTGCAGCAGGAAGATAAAACTGAATAAAAACAAATATTTTTGAGTAAACATTAAAGTAAAAATCAGGACTAGTGTAATTATTCTTATCTAAGATACGGCTATTTTTTCAACAAAAATTTTCCATATGTCAGCGCGAAATTATATTGCCTATTTAATCTATTTTTATCATTCCTATTCTTATCAGCATACATCCAGGTAAACCATAATTATCCATTGTCAGCCAAATTGCAACTGGATTAGAGGTTATAAAGTGCCGGCAAAATTTGTGAGCGCAGTAAACATTTTTTCCGTACTGCCACTCTTTATTTGGGACAGATATGCATCTGAAAATAATGAATGAAACATATGTTGCGACTTGTGACCGGGAATGTACCCCGTACTACGTCCCGTAGTAAGGAGGGTAGTTATATTTATTCGCCCTATTACAGACAACCGGAAAAAAGCGGGCAGGTCATTCTTATTTATTAGGGAGGGATTTGTAAAAATTCTGTAGGGGGTGGGCACATTTTTACGGAAGTAAGATGCAGGTAGGGGTGGTTAAGGGTAGGGAGGTGTCGGTCAACAGGAGGGATAAATAAAAATGGAGGGGAAATCCGAATATGATTCATAAAAATGCACCGGGGGTGCATGTGTGGACAGCTACGTTATTAGTCTCTTATTGCTAGTGTTTTAACCCAAAGAAATGTACCCAATTCTTTGGGCAGAAATCTAAGCATTTCTATTTGGAAACCTCATAATATAATGTTTGGTAATACCAACTGTAATTGTGAAAAAGTTGGTTAATTAAGAAAACTACAGCCTTTTTTTTAATTGAAGTTTGCTTGGATTAATGTAAAAGAAATAGTTCTAAAACTTCTGTTTTCAATACTATCCAGACTCAGGTTATCTTACAATAATTTTATATAGTTGTTACTACAAATATATACTAAAACTATAAATAACCAATACCATAGCTAACTGCTTATTTTCAATTAATTATGGCTGTATTAAAAATGTCCTAAGTATTTTTTAGACAAAGTAATTTAACTACATAAAAGATCCCCATACCTATTTAAAAAAAATAAATGACAAACCATCTTTCCCTTTTCCGTTTTTTTGGTTTGAATTGAATCAAAAGGTATAACAAAAAAAATTTACATTTCGTAAACATTTTGTCGTTTTTATTACGAGACCCTGTGTGTGGGTTTTGTAAGTCAAAATTTGTAAAAGAATAAGTTCCCGAATATAAAATGAGGAATATTGTATTTATTCTATTTTAAATACTAAATCTAAATATGTACTGACAAAAAATTGAATAGAAGTAACAACCGAAAGTACCAAAAATTGTTTAAAGAAATAATGTACATATTTTTTTAATTATTATTAAAACTATAAAATGCCAATAGCCATTCTCCATAGTCCTATAGTCAATAGTTATGACTATATTAAAAAAACGAACATATTTTTAATTATATTTTCAGCTAATTAAAAGTCATACCCGCATTTTTTGTAGCAAAAAAACTTTCTCACACTTAGTTGCAAAGATAAATTAACGCTATTTAAAATTTGTGATCATACAAGCATGGCAATTTTCATATTTATTCTCTGTACGCGAATAAATGTTTAATAACAAACAAACATTTTTAATTTTCGGAAAAATTACTATTATGAATTATGTGACATGTACCTAAAGAGTAAGTAAAATGATATAATAATAAATTTAAGCATTTTCCTACACATACTTCTTCATATACTTAAATCAGATATAGTTTTATTACTTCTCAAATGAATAAAAAAAATAAGTTGTTACTAAACAATACATTTTGAAATATTTACATTGATAATAATTAACTTACTGAACAATGCCAGCACATCGTTTTCACCTAAGAGATTTTGTATCGGTAATATTTGCAACAGATTAATGTGAAGGGAAGTTTTACTAATTAATGCGAAACTTTTTCACTGTAGGTAAGAACCGTCATTTAAAATGTGTCACAGGAACAGTACTGGGTATTTATTTAAGGACTATATTTTAATCACCTCACATATGGCATCACTGTATAGTATAGTTGGCAATAAACCTTGGTCATATCAGGCTAACTCTCCCCTGAGCTAGAAGTCCGTACTGACGTGGTGTCCAGCCCCAGGATGGCCAAGTCCTCACATAAAAACACCCTCACCGTTCGAACGACTTGCCTCGTACTCCCCTCAAAGTGGAGGGGTGGCCGAAAAAATAACAAGGAGCATTTTTTCTCAACCCCCGTGGTGGGGATAGACGCGTTACTCCTTAAAGTCCAACGCATGCGTTTTAACTAAGATAGAATTCTAAGGTTTGCCGTTCTCTCTTCCACTCGTTCTTCTTATGTAAATAGTTCTCACTTTCAACCCTTGCGAACGTTTCGCGTCTCGCTCCGAAATATTAAACTTGTATATCGGGCTCTTTGTCTTACTTCGCGAGTATTTTTATACTGTCTCCTTTAGATGCATTGCACTTGTATAAGTTTGTCCCTCTCTACGAGATTTTACCCTTATATTCTTAGTGTAAAGGCGTCGCGTTTAGACGCTAGACGTCTTTTGGCGACGACGACGCGTTTCTTAGTTATCTACGGACTTTCTTATAGTATAGACGCGCCGGGACGCCTTCGAAATTTAACGCGAAGTGCCGTTTTGCCACTTTGAAAAATTCTCTTAACAGTTCTTAGTACCTGGCACCTTGACGGGCAGGTATACTTTGAGATAAAAAAAATACTGGTACCTAATCAATTCATTTAAAAAATATATACAGTGGATTAAAGCCAATTATTTTCAAATTTTCTTGACGCGCTAGCTTATGTGATTCTCCTAGAAACAACTCAAGTGCTGTAAACAGGTTTTGGTGCAATATTTTTTCAAATTACTTATGTAAGTAGAATTCAATCATACTCTACCTACCCCTTAACAAACAATAAACAAACGGCAACTTGTTTTGCAAGTAAACACATACAACAAATCTTAACAAAATAGTCAGAGAAGCTCTGTATGCATGAAATATTGTATTTCACATGTAATATTAACAGTTCAAAATATGTTTACACTCTACTTTAAATCATGAAACGGATCCGTCTATATTTCTATTAAAAAATATACAATGGGATAGGTTATGTATGCACTGTCACATTTGAACGACTTAAAAACACATCACATGTCAAATGAAACGTGTTTAAAATGCACTTTGAGTGACATCTTCTACTGTTAATAAAAATCTAACACAACATATTTGTATTTTAATTGTAAATATTGATGACAACCGTCGAGTGTAAGAAAAAATTTAAACTAATCCTACCATTACAATAAATCTGCAATAATTTCTGTTTATTTATTTCGATTATTTAGTCACGAACAATTTTTTTTATTTATATCTATCTACATATACTTTTTTAATATATGTGTTTATGTTAGGTGTATATTTGTGCATGAACTTAAGTATGCAATTATGTTTGTTACAAAATGAGCAAAATTATAAACGTTTATCATTAGATTTGCATGCCTGTCGTGTTGAGAAAAAAATAAAGTAACTTAAAGTTATATTGTTTTCAGATTTACCTACATATATTCCTTACTAGGAAGAGAGGTTCATCTTTTGAACATCTGCTACACAAAAAAACGAAGAGAAAGAGAAAGGGACACTAGGGCCCTTGTATCGCAAATAAGTTCCTTATACACTTACTCACATATATCAGTTTGCTCTGAATATTCCTATCGAACACTATTTCACAGTTAACTGAGGATAAGTGCAATACCTAAAGATAGTACAAAGTAATTGATTAGAAAACGAGTAGCGCCGCTTGAAGACGGCAAAGTTTAACATTCATCTAAGCTAATTCATCAAAATTTTCACAACGGAGGAACAAAACATACTCAGTAACTTAAAAGTAGAACATGAGAATCTTGTAGCGAAGTGGTTGCAAAATTCCTTCAAAATACAAGAAAACGCCGCCCTGGACCTAAGGGCGACGCCACTAACGCCTCTCCAGATACCGATGGCGGAAGTCAACAACAGGCCTGTTTTCAAAATGAATAACGATTTTTGGAACCAAGCCAGAGGCCCCCCTCAAAATATGCCGCAGAACTTGTCCAACTCCAACCAAAACTCCCCGGTTCCCGGCTCGACCAACTCCATACCCGCTCATTCGCCGAGCCAGCAGAGCAACAGCAGCCAAATCCACGTCGTTACTCCCGGTGCGCTTGCATTGCAACAAGCCAACCAACAGCAGAACAGCCAACAGCAGAGCCAAAACAGCCAACAACAAGCGCACACTCAACAACAACCGCAACAAGGCTCGCAACAACACAACCAGCAGCAGCAACAATCCAACCAGCAACAACAACTGAACCAACAACAGCAGATGAACCAGCAGAACCAACAGCAACAGGGACAGAGTACCACCCCTAATCAACAGCAGAGTCAACAGCCGCAGCAATCCCCCCATTTGGGGAGTCCGAACCCCCACGCGCAGGCTGCGCATGTGCACGCGCTTGCGCAGGCCGCCCAACACCAACAACAGCAAATGGTCAACATGCACCAACAGCTCGCGGGTAGCGGCCAAAACTCACCAGATAAATTAATGACGGAAAAAATTGTTAATGAATTACAGGTAGGTTTTTTACGCTAGTCTTAGTAGAGTTTGCATGAAAACCTCAATGAATTTTGAAAATAAAAAAAAATATATGTTGACAAGCTAACAAATATTATAGAATACTCAGAGCGAGTCATAATTAGACGTAAAAAATTGGACCAATACTTTTTCCGGCCAAAGCAAAGGAAGTAACCGAATATATGTCAGTACCGAAATGTTTACTTAAGTTAGAAAGTGTTGAAATTACATTAAAATAGAACAAAATTAATAAGAAATGAGCATTTGAACATCCGAAAACAGAATACCGTAGACATAATTTTAAGTGTAGGTGAGATATAATCTTCATTGTCAGTGCCTACTGGTATAAAGCGCTGTTTTGTGTAGGTGCTATGCTAGCATGATAGTATTGCACTTAGCTGTTTATACTGGATATTGCGAGTGAAATTCAATGCTTGACGAAACTGTAGTCCACGGAGTAATTGTTGAATAAAACGGTATCTGTTTAATGAAGCACTGTGATTTATTCGGTTTTGCAATTGGTTTGTTTTGTAGAGAAGAAAGTTCAGTCTGAATTTTTTACACCTAATTTTAATTCACCTTGTATACAGGAGGATTCAAAATTAGATCAATTTCAATAAACTTGTTCCTTTCACCAAAATAAAATGAAAAGTCCTGAAAGGCTTATCTTACTAAGGTAAAAAGAATTAAAAGTATCTTGTTTTTAAAAGGTCCTGAGAGTATCTGATATGTTTTTTTCAGAACAGAATTTTGAAAATCTATTTCTGTTCGCTTTTATTAATTTAATAAGTTCATATTTCATGTTTTTCCATGAAGCTTTCAATTTTAAATGGAAACTGTGCCTCTTCACTGCAAATTCAATTTATTTATTTCACATATCAGCAAAAACTACGCCACTGCATTTATTAAAAATTTATTCCGGAATTTCCATTTAATGTGAACTAATTAAAAAAAATTTTTTGTTAAAGTTAACTTTTGTGTAAGAGAAAAATCAATAAAGAAAACTAAAATAATAGAATTATTTTTTTAGTATCACAAATTAAAACGATTGCTCATATCTCCGTCACTGGTTGTTTAGGGGACTTGATATTGCCCCATATTAAATCATTTTTAGATTTACGTTAATATGAAAAACGCAACCTTTTTTAAAGTAATATCATATACTCTCGTATCCAATGCTAATTCTAACACATCCTGTATAAAAACAGTGGCGTACTAAGTACTACTACGCACATGTTTAATTACGCCACTGAAGAGGGAAATTGAACTTAGGGACTTTTCTGCTTATCCTGGTAAGGTCTTGAATTGGTATGGTTTAATTTTGAACTACCCCTGTACAGTAATCTGCTCCATTCGCACATTCAAAATTCATTTTACGTAATTGTTTTTTATTTGTGTGGATTTATAATTTATTTCAACTAATTATTTTTTGTGGTTTGGAAATATGACTTCCCTTCAAATTCCTTGTTGAATAGACATAGGGACCGTGGTTAATAAAGAATTGTAATACGCGGGATTGCTATTATAAAACGTAATTGTTTTTTTGATAAAAATTCGCGGTGAAAATTTACTTTGCACTTAATTCGAAATTATAGTGTCGGCAAGTCTCTTGCAGGTAATCATTTTATTTTATTTTATAGTATGATAATAAAATATTATATTTTCTATTAAACTGTCAACAGTTATTAAAATATAATTGTGATTAATTTTAGAACCTTTGCTTACAAATGTTTAAAAGTTACGGCCCTTTTTTACTAAGTCAATCGAATGTTAACGTACCCACACATGTTGCGGAGAGGCATATGTTGGTTTCAACATACAATTAAACTCTTTTTTTCTTTATTTAAACGATAATTGACTACAATTAATATTACAGGTAATAAATGCCTCTGATACAATGATAGTTTTTTATATTTTACGTAGCAGAAACCTATAGTTAACGAGCATTCTATTATTAGATACATCAAAAGAAAATTTATCTTTTATTTGTAGAGAATTAAAAAAACTATCGGTGCAAGAACGTAAGATTAACTCAACTTACAAAATTTATTTGAAATTATAACTGAATATCAAATTTATTTTCACCGTTTTTGCTTATTTAAAATGTTTAAAAAGCACTATTTTTGCTGAAAATTTAATAGCCATTAATTTTACTAACCTTTTGAATGCTGTATCGGCAGTACACAATTTGCAGTCTCCTGTGCAACTGACGACTAATTTGAATATTTATGGAGCCCAGTTGTCATAATAGTAATGAATCTACTGTAATTATTTTCTAGATATTTATTTGGATATAAAATTTAATTAGTTTTTCTTACAACTAGAGATTTTCATAGTCAATCAGCTAAGTGGTCTTTGTTCCCATGAAAAATTTTCAGTATTACCATAAATACATGTATTATCATTAATTTGTATTTTACCATAAAATGGTGGTAATAAAATTTTAACGTTCGACCATAGAACTTAAATAGACCCTTGTTATTTTCTCATTGACCACTAGGCTGTGGAAATAGTTTAATATTGTAACAATTGGTATGTAATAAGTTTTAATAATTTAATACGTTCTTAAAATATCCGGGAAATAAATAGCACCTCGTGCGCCATCTGTAAGGCGGCGTCTCGAAGTTTTCGCGTCGGTTTTCTCTTCCTGAGACGTGTGAAAAAGGGTGCGCTTCTAAGATCGAGGCGCCTGGTTTGTCTACCGACTATTCGACAGGATCAGGTGGTAATTAAATTGTGCTTTATTGGGAATTTAGTTATGGGAGATACTTTCCACATATACATATGTCAATTTAAACGAAAAGTATATAATAAAATATAATTTATTTATTAAAATGAGAAACGATATTTTTCCTTAGTTTATCTTCAGTTTATATTTTATGGCAAAATAGATATAAGGGCTATAAATAAATAAAAGAAAGGAGAGAAACTACTAATGTAGAGATTACTTTTAAGAAGTCTGGTAGAAAGATTTAAATTAAACAAAAAAAGTGATTATGTTACGTTCATAAGTGGAAAAGACTTTTAAATATAGAATTATCAATTAATTTTATGAAACCTGTTTTTTTCCTGCATTTTCTACAAAATTAAAATACGATATCATTTTTAAAGCTAAAAGAGAAATAATAAATATCTACAATTTACTTAATCCTTGTCTCACTGTTTTTTATCTATTGACGATTTTAATTCATATACAGGGTGAGTCATTAATAATGGTACACAGCTTAATGGCAGATTGTTAACGTCAAAATATAGTGATTGAGCCAAACTTGCCTTGGTCAATTGTTACTCCTTTTCGTTCTACAGGGTGTTAAATTTAAAAATATATTTTTGATTTTTTGCTATATTTTTAGTATGTACTGACCGATTATTTTCGAAATTTGTAGTTTTACGTTTATTAAGGTGGTAAATACGAATATGCAAACAGTGTTGGTATCATGTCTAGGGGGCGCTAGTTATACTGTCCTATCAGTGTAAAAATATGTGTAACTTTTTATATTTTACAATTTTGAATTTTTTAACTACAAACTATTAAACAACGTTCAATAGTAAATAAAAAAGGTATACTTGTTACAAATCGATAAACTCAACCGATTTAAATTTTTGATATTCTGCGAGAATTAATTTAGAAAATTAGCAGGTTATAAGATACCAAGCCTGAATTAAGAATTAAGACAATTTCAACTGAAATTTTTTTTATGCATAATATCTTAAGAAATTATTAATCATGAAATATTTTCAAAGCAACTACCAGCGCCTTCAATGCACTTGTTTAAATTTAGACTGATGTTAAAAAATAAAGTTCTATGTTGTTTGATTATATTAACTGATTCTTGAATATTTGCCCACAGTTGTTCTTGACTTTTAATAATGTATTTGTAAACCTGAGAATTAAGTAGCCCCAAAAGAAAAATCCAGCGGACTTAAATCAGGGCTACCTACGTGCTGGCCAAGATACTTCGCTACTGCGTCCAATCCAACGGTGCGGGAAATTTCTATTAAGATATTCTGTCAATTTATTATTTCAATGCCTACTACTTTGGAAAAAATATTTTTTTAATTTAATTCCCGCTCAATTTCAAAAACTTAAAATGTCTGTATCTCGAAAACGGTTGAGTTTATCGATTTGGAACAAGTATATTTTTTTATTTACTATTGAACATAGCTCAGTATTATCTAGTTAAAAAATTCAACATTGTAAAATATAAAAAGTTAGACATATTTTTACATTGACAAGGCAATATAACTAGCGCCCCCTAGACGTGGCCCCAACACTGTTGGCATATTCGTATTTGATACTTCTAAAAACGTAAATCCACAAATTTTCAAAACAATCGGTTCATACGTACTTAAAATATAGCAAAATATCGAAAATATTTGTTCAACTTTAACACCCTGTAGAACGAAAAGGAGCAACAATTGATTAGGGCATGTTTGGCTCAATCGCTATATTTTGACGGTAACAATCTGCCATTAAGTTGTGTACCATAATTAATGACTCACCCTGTATGTGTACCATATAAGTACCCGACTATACTGAAAATGTACTTATGTATGTGAGTGGTCAAATAAACTTATATTCTATTCTATACATACATATCTCTTTCTCTTATTTGAAACATATTTCTGAATATGGATTTCATGAGCTGTATTATACAGTACAAAGAGAATACAGTACAAAGAGATTAAGAGAAAGTTATAGACATATAGAGGGTGATCCAATTTATAGGTGTACATATCAATAACACAGTAAGTAAAACACAAGTGAATGTCGAAACTTTTTATTAAACAAATACTAAAAATACGCTTATTTGGAAACTATGACTACCTCAAAATCGCAAATCCTAAGCCTACTATATGTTCCCTTTAGGTGTTCTTTTTCTCCGAATTTTTAAATTTTATACGCTAATTTAAAAATTCCTAGTAAAAATTCCTGGTAAATTTTACTCTACTTGGGTAAATATTAAATTAATATTTTCTGAATTAATATGGAAAAATAA